TTTTTTTTTTTTTTTTTTTTTTTGTAACACAAAAACTCTAGTCGAGGCATTTGAAATACAGAAAGATAATTCGATCTTCTTGTACTAATGTTAAGTTTTCAAGTCCATCTGTCAGCCTTTCAAACGACTTACGAAAACTCAACATAATTACAAGAACTGAAGAACCAAGGGCTGTATTGAAACCCAAAAAAAAAAAATGCAAAAGACCCCCACAAGATTGTCTCCCAACATATAATATCCGATCCGATGAACACAAATTTAAGCAGAGCAGTTCTTGTAGATATCAAAAAGACCCAACAAGATCACAAGATTCACTCCCAATATATAACATCAGAGTAGAGTAGGGATTCAGTTCTTACAAAAGATTTGCTCATGGCTCGCCTAGTATCCTCATCTGCATCTTTGTATATTTCTCTAAAGAACTTGTTTAGAGCTGCATCACCATCGAGTTTCTCTTCCTTTTCCTGGAACATGAAGGACACATCAAACATGAAATTAAGGTTTGTACTATTAATGACTAAAGAAACGTAATTTATATGTAGAAAGCGTAATATTTATATATATATATATATATATATATATAGAGAGAGAGAGAGAGAGAGAGAGAGAGACACATACACACACACACACACACACACACATATATATATATATGTACACATGTATATATAAAGGTTCGTATTTACTTAAAATAGTATTGGTTCCCACAAAAAAAATAAAAACAAAAAAATGCTACTAATGTTAGAAATTCCATATTAATGTTTACAAAACTTTCATAATTATTTATTTATTTACATTCTTATGAATAACAACACTCGATCCTTATCTCACAAATAATGAAACAACACTCCTTACATATGAATACATTTATGGCATCATAAAGCATTTGTTAAAAATCAATTTTAAGGAATGTTACTATACAAAGGAAAGTCATCTAATATATCTCATGAAAGAAAAGGAAACAATGTGGATGGTTTCATGTCATAAAAAAATGGTAAATAGTCGAATTGACGAGATGTAATGTTTATGAAAAAATAAAACTAATTTCTGATGAAGTATTCATTATTTTTTATAGTCATTCATTATTTTTTCCTAGTAAATAACCGTAAAATGCATGGTCCCTATATACTAATTAAATATAATTAGGCAGTAACGTAATATTCCATCAATTGTTGATATTTTTTAGATATAAAACCTTTAGTTATGCGATATATTTAATAATATGTCAACAAATTATTATAATTGTTCAAGCTAAATATTTTTCTTTCATAAAATTAATATAAAATATTTATTAGTTAACATATGTTTAATTATTCTGGAAAAATTAAATTTCAATGCTAATGGCCAAAAACTTTATGTTAATTGATTGAAATTTTCATTAATTAACTCATTTAACTGAAATAAACCCACAATGTGTTACCTTTCTCAATAAGAGCGAAGTTTGTTCTTTTTAATTAGTTATTATTAAGGATATAATATATATACATATATTCTAATTATTATGAGATTATCAATAAATTCCAAAAACATAATAGAATCACACGTGTATATATGGTAAAACATTATAATATTTTATTTTAATCTATTTGTAAAATTTAAATTACTTATATTAATAAATAATATTAACGTACATTAAATATTTGTCATTAAGTAAAAAAATGCTTCTATAAATTTTATAAATAATGATGACATTATAAGACAATAAACTTTAGTTAAAATAATAGTTGAGTATTATAAGAGAGCAAAAATAAGTAAAACTATTATTTTTTCCAATATCAAGAAATAAACATATGTATTTAAATCTTATTTATATTAATATAAATAGGTAAAGGGGCTAATTATTTGATCAACTTACAGGTAGCCTAAATGAGAACGGTCAGCCAAAAAAAGAAAACTGATAAAAATGTGTGGAAAATACATAGTCCAATCCTGTTATTTTTGGGGCTAAATATGGTCAGGCTTTATAGAACTTAGCTATTTCACATTTCGGAGAGCTAAATATGGTCAGGCTTTATAGAACTTAGCTATTTCACATTTCGGTCGAACGCATCGCACGAGCTATGCACTAGTGCATAGACATACATACTTATTACATACCTCCTTTTTCACTTGAGCTTCCAATTTATCCCAGTCTACTCTCTTGGGTTTTGAAGATGGATATGTGGGTTTCTGAGTGCCTGTTGAACCACATTATCACAGTTGAGCTCAATAAAAAATTTATGTCCTAAGATGATTCCAGAAAAATACCCAACCAAAGGTAATGTTCCAAAATTACAAATGCCACCATGAACAGTTACGGCACCATCTTCAAGTTTTATATTTACCAAACAAATAATAATCTCCTTGAGAAAAAATTGTAAAGGAGAAACAAATGTCGGGACACCTGTAATTCCCAAAAGGACAATGTACCTGATGATACACTTGCTTTCCGCAGAACAGTAGCATCTCTCTGGTACTCAAGAGACGTCCAGTGTACAGTGTCTGCCTTGGCAAGACGGATCTCAATTTTCGTTGACATGACTTCATACCTGCATCTTGAAGGAACTATCTGCTCATCGAGAATAATATCATTACACTAATTAATCACAAAAGTATGTCATGAAAAAATTTTCAATTTTATTATCATTGCACCAAGAAAATAGTGAAAGCCAGAAAATTTAAAAAACCATATATGGCTTCTAAATCTCTATAAAGTAAAAAATAGCAAAATATGGATAACTGGTAAGGGAAATAGAAAGTAAATACAAATACAGCCCGACGATGCGTTAACTACTCAGCATTATCTATATAATTAATTGTTTACTATTGGTGCCACCTTTAAATACTATGTTCGACAACACTTCTTCAAATTTGCAAAAAGTTAAACAATCATGCAAATCTCTGTGGGAAAGTCTCCCACGGTATCCAACAATGCACTAAAAAAATAATAATAATAAACAAAATAAAAAATAAAAAAACTGTAAAAGCTTCAACTCACGACATCATATAAATATAAATAGACAAACAAAATATAGGAACTTTTTCACAGTTGAACACAACCAAGCAAAAAAGCAATCAAGCAAGAAAAAATAAAAAGGGCTTACTAACAGATTTAGCATACAACCTTTCCAAATAACCTAGGCTGAAGATGATATGCTTCCTCACCAGGCACTTCGATTTTAATACTGAGCTGAAATATTAAGTGAAAATAGTCAGAGGTACATTTGAAATAAAATGTCACATTAGGATGCAAATTTAGTAGATTGTGCTCCACTTACTATCTGTTCACCAAAGTCAACCACAACATTTTTTGCCGGTATGCCTTTTGCAAATATTGTTAACACCACTTCCTCTGGCTTTTGATAGAACTCATGCCTGCAATTTATAGAGAGAAAAGTAAAAAAATAAAATTAAGGGGGTCCAACGAACAAAGTCATAGAAAGATAATAATTAATCACTAATCACTGACCAATTCATTATCACCAAATCCGAACACCCAAATTTACCTGTATTTTGGCTTAGAAAGCGGCATCACTGATCCTTGACTAGACAACCCAACCGCTGGAGCCACCACAACTGATGGAGCGTTGTCAACCAATTTCTTAGGCAATTCTTCAGCTTGCTCTGAAATAAGCAAGAAGTTAAATCCGTAGCAGAACAGGCATAACCGTCTATAGAAAAAACACAGCATATATTTCAGAAATAGTGATGGCATAGCTGCATTTTAGGCCAATGATTTGGACAAATTAATGAATACATCTAATAACACGGCATTACATAGGAAATTAAAATGTAAATCACAACGCATAAACTCCAGTAGATTGAAATATTTACAACACTGTTTATACATCCCTAGCAACAGGCATAACTATCAAGGTCAACCAAAAAAACTATGTCCCAAATCTTTAGAAAATCGGAATCCACCCTAAATCAACTTAAAAATTAGTTCTTCACTGACAAAGACGAAGAGTATTTGAAAAATGAAACAAATTATGTGGGGTGGGAATGGAAAAATTGCCTATTTTAACAAAAGAGTCTAAAAAAAGAAGTATAAAACTGCGTTTATCTAAGGAGATGAGGAGACCGTAACTATGGTCAATTCCATATGACTGCAGTTATAGAAGATGCAGATACTCCCACAAGTAGCTGATCAAATTACCTGCACTGATGCGCTCATCACACTCTTTGATCAAGTTAGTGAACCTGGAATCTCCAGGTGCCAAAGAGGCACCAATTTCCAAAGCTGCCTTAGCAGTCTGGTACTCCTCAAGCTTGATGCATGCCATGCTGTTCCCACAACATACATAACAACTATGAGATGAAACTTGCGGCAAGAAACAAAATGTAAAAGGTTACTCTCACGGTCAGTCCTTTTTAACAAAGAATCCTTGTCAATGTGACCCAACAATAAGAACAATAAAAGAACAGACATGGAAGGAAAGGAAGATAACGTGACAGAAAGAGATTCTCCTTATTTCATAAACTAAACTCCAATCATCCCAAAGTCAAACTAAATCCTTCAACTAACAGAACTCACCCTTTACGTAGATAAGCTTTCGAAATATTATGATCCAACCCGATAGCTTTATTTGCATCAGCAACAGCCTCTGCACATTACACATTTACGATGATAAGTAACACCATAAACTAACTAGCTTCTAATACACACGAAATCTACTAGGCAAACTAAGAATTTCAGTCCATAGACTGACTATTTTAAGTCAGGCATAAAAATGCTTTAAATAAAATCAGCCCTCACAGGCAACATGGCAACAATACACCATATGGAGTCGAGCATTTCAAACCATGGACTCTGAATTGCAATAAAAGATTCGTCAAACTTGAATAATATTTTTTATGTCATCAAGTTCCCATATACCATACCTTAGATTCATACACAAAAGAATACAGAGACTTAAAAGGATGCTCGTTCAAACAATCAGATTCAACTCAACAAAAAACAAGACATTTTGGACAAAAAAGTTTCCAGCTAAAGGCCAATGTTTTACATGCAGCTCAAACTAGTGAGTATGAGATAGCTCCTGGAATCGAAAATTTATAAGAATCGTCACTGTTCAAATGCAAGTACTTCTAAGTTCTAACTCAGAGTTTTAAAACAACAATTAAGAATCACAAAACACTCGCCAATAGCCATAACCCATAAGAAAAGGTCCACCTAGTGGAATGAATACAATCAATCCCGCCCAGAAATAATCTCCACAATATCTAACAATTTCTCCAAAAACAGCAATACAACACATTACTCTGCACAAAAGAACCAATAGCCGGCATCAAAAGGATCTCAAAGTTTCTTCTTTTCTCTTACCAGTGAAGTTTTGGAGCTTAATATTGGCCTGAGCACGGTCGGCGAATAGTTCGGCATTGTTAGGGCTCAAGGCAATGGCTTGAGAGTATAGGTCAACGGCTAGCTCGAAGTGGTCATCTATGAACGCTTCTTTTGCCTTTGCCACCAGATCCGAGGACGCCATTGATGCTCCAAACTCAAAATCCTCGACGATACGAATTTTGTGGGTTGTTCACTTGTTCTGAAGGTAAATCTGGCACGCGTTATTTATTTTACACGAGGATAGAAGTCTCTGGAAAGGTATCAGGGATTTTTTAAGGCAGTTCATTATTTGTTTATTGGAAAGGGGATGTGTAGCGTTTCGCTATGAGGTGTGTTACTGTGTGTGTCTCTAAATCCAAATCCACTCTATGTAGGTCTCTAAATCCAAATCCACCTATGGTGTTTGGTTCTTTTTTTTTTCTTTTTTTTTTTCGAAACCATAGACTTTCTTTTTTTTTTTCGAAATGAAAGGATTTATAATTCAACGAGAATATATACAATCGTACATGGCCATCTAGCCATACATAATTAGAACAGAAGGACACCTACAGAGGGCCTTATCACAAAAGCAAAACAAAACCAGGACTAAGTTGTTTGACTATAGCAATGGCAAGGCAATGTGATGAAGAATATATATGTTTAAAATTATTATTATTATTATTATTATTATTATTATTATTATTATTATTATTATTATTATTATTATTAGTTGCTTGGATATTAAGTTAGGGTTGAGTTTGAAGCTTTTATTTAAAGGGCTCTTCTGTTTTGGTGATGGGGAGTTGAATTTTGAGAATGAAAAATTGATCGTGTTCTTTCGGGAGAGTATCCTAAGTTCGAGAGAGTATCTCGTATTTTATCTTTTCTCTTTCGTTCATGCTTTCGCTACATCAGTTGGTATCAGAGCCAGCCCATGTGCCAGCGGCGACCGCTGGGCCCACAAGGGGGGTGGATGATGCAGCGCATCCCACATCGGGTTTGAAAGGAAACGAAGCAGGCCTTATATGAGGATGTGGATACCTTCACTAGTAAGACGCGTTTTGGTGGGTGTGTATTGAAGCTCAGCCAAGAACAAAGTCGTGCGGGTGGCGGAAGTAGCCCAAAGCGGACAATATCTTACTAGGGTCTGCATCACCTTAATACCTTCTTCAAGCTCGGGAGGTGCGTCTTCAGCATCTTTTTCCTCTATTGGAGCATCCTCGCATATAGTGATATGGTTCACAGGTGCAATATCTTCGGTCGGCTCACCAAGAGCTTTGAAGTCGATACATGCTCGCACCCGTCCATTTTTTCCCGTGGCAAGTCGTGTCTGCACATTTTCATCAACTCCAGTGATATACCCTTTTCTCACCAAATAAGCTATCATTCGGTAAAGAGAACGTTCATCATTTCGAGGAGTTGTGAGAGTACCGCAAGCATGGTAAGACGAAGCGACACTTTCTCTATCATCATCTTCATCATCATGCACTCTTGTATGAATGATCGTGTGCATTTTAGCTTTTAAAACTTCACCACGTGATACGATCAAGGTAGTTTGACGTTTCATACGTGACAGAATTAGACTTCTAAGCTTTGGAGCCGGGCCTACACCTTTTTCTTGTCTTACAGGCTTTGACCGCTTAAAGGATCCTAGTCGTTGAAACATAGATTATTTGCCTTTTGACTTTCGCACCGGACCGAGTCTTTGAAACACCGACACTCTTTTCTCTTTCTTTTCACCGTCAGAAGATGAGAACTCTCCTTCCGAGACATGGTTGGCGTTTGCTCTCTTGACGGCGATTCTAATTGGACTCGATGCCACATATCCAAGACCTGCCCGGTTGTGCTTTTGCTCTTGAGCTATGAGCTTTCCCAAAGAGCGACTTTCATTGGGATTGTATCCTGCTTTGACGAGAAGCTTGTAGGCTTTTGGATCAAAACACTTAGAGTTCTTCAATCCTTCACCATGCTCCGTCACATCTCCTTTTCTTTGACGAACAAAGTTCATGGGTGGTTGGGAGATAGGTTTCTCGTCATCTACCTTCGGCAGTGGCAACACTAACTCTTTTAAAGAGTTTTCTACCTCTTCAATCTTCGATTCTTCACTTTCAGACCCTTTATGCTGCTTAGATGAGACTTTCTCAACTGGTTTTGCATCATTGAAATAGTATTTGGCATCAGCGAAATGAGTTTCAGCCTCCGTAAAAGGTTTATCATCACCAAACACAGTCTTCACAATGCCATTTTTGCAATATTTGAAGCATTGATGCCATGTGGACGGAACCACGCCATTCTCATGAAGCCATGGACGACCAAGAGCATATTGTAAGAATTTTTTGCATCCATGATGATAAGTCGTATTATTGACATGTTAATTGTCGTGTTTTCCATACTTTTTCGGTGTTTGTTTGAGCTTAATTATTAGTTTTAATTGATTTTGTAGGATGTCTCGGAATTTGGAATTATGTGATGATTGGAGGGCAAAAGAGACGAATTTGAGCTAAGGCGTGGGCACGCTAATTTCCTACGAGAGTTGGGAGAAGGAAGGAGTCTCAAGTTGGAAAGAGAATAATAAATCATTTAGGAGTATTTATTTATTTATGGACTTTTATTATTTTATTATGATATTTTGGAGAGAATAAACTCTTTATTTTATTTTCTACGTAATTTCTGTTAGGAGGAGGATTAGACTGGTTTGATTAAAAACCAGACTGCTAGATTTTATATCGGTGATCTCTTCTTTTCTTTTCTCCTACGCACGCTACACGCCCCCTCTTCTCTTCTTCTCCTTTCTTTTATTTTTCATGAATAATTGGGAGACTTCTCCCATGTTTATGGATAATTAATATATTTTTCCAGCCAAAGGATTATTCTAGATTTGGATCTTCATGATTTGTGAGATCTAATTGATTTATATTCCCTATTCTCTTTTATTTATATATCTCTTGTGATTATTACCAATTGTGTTTTGATTGATTGATGCAAATTGGCCATTTGTTTGATTATTAAAACGCATATCGTTATTTAGAACGGTTAAATCCGTAATTGTTTGATTGTTCTAATATTTATGGCAAATAGCATAGTTGACTACTAAGGGTTTTCAATTGTATGCTTGGGGAGATATATGATCTAGTCTAAATGATCCTACATGTGCGTTTGTTGGCTAGAATTGGTGGTCCTTCTAGATCTTATTGCTGTTGATAGATTAAATCCTATGATCGTATCTAGGGTTGTCTGTTGATTAGAGAAATAATTAGAGATCGTATCCTGATTAGCGAACAAGTAAGGAAGGATAAGTTGTTAGGTCGTACCAATAACCATAACCAGTTTAATCGAGAATAGGAGAATTATCTTTGCATCTATGATCGAATCGTTGAACCATCTCTACGAGTTTTTCCTTTGGTTGGATATCTTCTCTATTTCTAATCACTCATTTTGTTCTCGTTTTATTTTCATCTCTAGTTAGATTTATTTTGTTTTAGTTTTCTTAGTTAGATAAAAATCATCAAACCCCCATTATTTTTATTTTTATTTCTTTCAAGAATAATTGCATCAATACTTTGTCTAGCCATCCCTGTGGATTCGACCCTGCTTACCACTACTACAGTTATTTTAAAAGCAGAAATTTATTATTGTTGGATTCGACACCCATCAATTTTTGGCGCCGTTGCCGGGGATTGGTTTCTAATTAGACTTGTTTTGGTGCACTATTCTTTTGTGCAAGAGGCTTACATTTTTATGGAGTTTTATTCTCAGCAGTTCGAGCAAAATGGTTATCACAGGGAAAGCGCATGTCAATCTGAGTTTTGTGGAATTTGTGGCGACTCCCAACACCCAACTCATTATTGCCCAACGTTTCTATATAAACCTCAAGGGCATTCTCAAGTTGGAAATTTTCACGAGCCGCAACGAGGTAACTTTGATGGATTTTATGATAGCTGCAACTCTGAGTGGTGGGGTGATTACTCGCCTTCT